TTTTCTTGTGGATTTTTTCAAATACACGATAGTCTTTAGCTCCATGGGTTATTTAACACAAAACTATAAAGATTAAGTTAGCTTCTGTTTTACACACAAGTGTGCCGAATTACGATGCACTTCTATTTTATATTTAAAATCGCATTATATTATAAAAAGAATGAAAATAAAAAAATATAAATAAAACTAATTTAGGAAACTACAAATATATAAAATGATGCAATATAATATTATAAAAATAAATTATAATTATTTGAACTACGCAATTTGCAAAAGAAAATTATGATATACGCAAAAAAAATTTTACTGCTCCAGCTAAAATTATTGCTGTTTTTTGTATCTGATAGAAAATTATGTATCATACGCATAGAATTTATAGCACAAATCTAAATTCTACCTCTGTCATCTATATGAGAGATTAAATACAATACATATTCAATATTACAGTACTTGCTACTACTAGAAACTTATCTATCTTTTTAGTTAATTTTTCGTACTTAGATAATTTTTAGGCTATAATTTTTATGCTATAACTGCAAGATCACTTTTTTGAGTGAAGAATTCCATTTTCGAATTTTTAAAATTTTTAACTGATTTTGTATAAAACAAGCCATAATGTGAATTATGAGATTTTACTTCTTTAATTATTAAAATAGATTATGTTCTTATTAGATATTGCTTGCATAATGCGCATGTATCATATTTTATCTTTGTTTAACATTCTATGAGAACAACAAGGATGAAATAATATCTCATGTGCATTATGCATGTAACGGAACGCAGCCAATATTAATAAAATAGTTTCTAAAAAATAGAGGGATGTTTCTTCAAGAGATTCTAGCAACTTTTCTCTATTGTTATACATAAAATAAAATGAATAAATTGTTATAATGAATATACCTGAATAAACTGTTGTAATGAAGATTGAAGCGAAAAGTAATGTTGCGATTACTCGAGGCATTTTGCTTTTTTAATAGAACAACTTCCAATAATAAACTCGTAAATTATATATTTAGAGGATAACACTGTTTGAGAGTGATGTTGTGTAGACAGACTGATCGTAAGTACATGAACTCTCGTTCTTCACACTGCGTTGCTTAACGCCCACTCCTACTCCAGATCTTTCCCGACATTTCACCCTCTACTGTTCATGCAGCTTTTCTGTAAAACATGCGATGCGCAGATTCCACCCGCTCTGGATTCCTCTTGCTTTCCTTTTTTAAGGACATGAATATTTTTCTGTAATTTATAATATTATAAGATTCTGAGTAGAATTTACTAAAGCTGCAGTATAAAAAAAGTTGACAAACTTTATCATATTAAGAACAATCTAAAAAATAGATAAAACATTAAACGTTTATTTTTGTATTTTCCACTATCCTAGTTAAATTAAATCAATCACAATATTAATCTTGTAACGGCACACTTATTTTCAATACTTTGAAATGGCACATTGAATCGTTTTGTGCCGATCCGATCTTGAGGCTCTTAAAATGCTCGAAAGTTTGTAAAAATTCACACATGTTTTTTAAGGTCTCTTAAATAAAATTATTTTGCTATGTAGACATTGGACAAAGTTATAAAAATTACAGAGGTATATATGAGAAACTGTATGTTACGAATGGCATGGATACAAATATAATGAATAAAGGACGAGTTATTTTTTTCAATGAAAAATGCGTTATGGATGAGTTATTATCAAAAATGGCTATATATCGGTCAATTAATATTGAAGGCGAAATCAATATCTGCTAAATGCAGTGTCGATTAAAACATTGTTGATGATTTCATACAAACTCAATTTTTTTCTGATATATTGTTTTTTTTTTACAATAGAATACTTATCAATAAAATTCGAGATAATAGTCTGAAAAAAATTAGTTTGATCTGAAACTTTAAAATATACTAAATCGTACTAAATTGATGTAGAATCTATTATGAATTTATACGATTTTGAAAAATCGCTGTTAACCATAATCAATACGTACACATGTTTAAAGAGATATATGGCACAAAACCGTTAGGGGAAAGCATGGAAGAGGGAGACGCCCGGCGTCGTGGCGCCAACACAAGTCGTTGTTGGCGTCAACGTGACGCCAATGACTCCGTCTATTTAATTTACAATTTTGAGTTTAACTATTAAACAAATTTCAAGTAGAAAAAATATCTCGCTATACACATGTTCTTATTTCTTTCTTCTCAATCTTTTTTTCTTCTTATACTCTTTATAGTTAGTATGCCATTTCCTGCTATCTTCATTTTTGCCGTTCAAATATGAATATACATATAATCAATGATCTAGTGTCTATATCATAATTGATAAAATAAAAGCTGTTGCGTTGTACGTATAACGTACATACTCCGTCACAAATACCTTGGGTGCGTTCTGAATTACTCATGAAGCGCATGATGTATTGTTTTATCCTTCTTTATTATTTGATAAACAACAAGGACAAATAATGCATTATGTACCTTATGCATCCCTTGACATACAAAATTGCATGAGTATCCGAGAAGAAATGAAAAGAAGGACATGAAAAAGAATGAGATGATATGAAAAATCATGTTAAGGCATTTGTGACGCCGTCATATGTATATATGTATATGCATATAATCCATAAAATAATCTATGTGTACTCATACATTAACATTATCTTTTGTTAGGATAATGTCAGTCATTTAATGAAATATAAAAAATCAAAATAATTTGATTTTTATTAAAACACTCGTATCAAGATTATTTCTTATTATATTATTCCCAATGTGGATAATTATTTATTCTAATACATAAATTAATGATTAGTTGCAATCACACAAATTATAAGCAAGTGTCTTTTTTAAATTTCTTCTTCGATTCAACTTTATTTATAATTTGTATTCAATAGCATCAATTTTTAATTTATACATTTAAATTTAACAAGACTGAATATATAACATATTTTACATTAATTTTTTAATATTATCTTTAGTGAAATTACAAATAATATTGCAACTGATTACGCAACAAATAAATGATTTGATTACTGTATGTGTGCGTGCGTGCGTGCGTGCGTGCGTGCGTGCGTGCGTGCGTGCGTGCGTGCGTGCGTGCGTGCGTTCGTGCGTGCGTGCGTGTGTGTGTGTGTGTGTGTGTGTGTGTGTGTGTGTGTGTGTGGTGTGTGTAAATCCATATGCACGGGTGAGACTTATGTACAAGACAAATAACATAACTGTATCTGGATTTGTTATGGTTAAATGGATGCTTAGAAGAAAATTTTTTGAGAAAATTATGTACTAAATTTAAATTATTATGCCTGACAATAAAATAATAATTAAAACTGTACATAGAAAGTAGATCACGAGGTTGGATGAGCATTGTTGAGAGGAATTGCAGCCATAACCCATACATTCACAGATAAGTTGATAACTATCTCGAGTGTAGCGTCCTTGATAACATTCCTTTTGGTTATTTCGTAATTTTGCGCATTCACGCATTATTATACTATTATATGAACCCATAAAATAATCTAAAATTGTGAGATCTGAATGTTATTATTTAATTCTCTCGAATTGTCGTTTTATTAATCATAAAAACAATTAATATACGCGTTATAAATTTATTCAAATAAGTAATTATAGTTAAATTTACTTACACATGTAAACAGCTTTACGACAATAAAAATGACCCGATGGACACAATTTTAAATATTTATAATGTACTTTATTAATGGAACAATCTTCATCCTTTTTACTGTTACATTGATAACATTTGGTTGCAACGCATTCTTCTTTTAGTATTAATATTGTAGATATATGGATGTAAAATAGTAGTTCAAAAACAAAAAGAAGCTATATTAATAAAAAATGTTTTTAATATTTATTTTGATATATAAAACTTTCTATTATAAATTTTTAGTTAATTACTGATTAAATTATAAATTTCAAATAAGTTAGAGAGTATTAGGCTTAAATTTTTCATTTCAATGAAAGCTGCTAACTATATTTTTATATTTTAAAGGATAATTATATTCTTTAGTTAAAGCTCACCTCTTTGGAAAACACATAGAACCAATAATATTCGCAATACATATAACCTTATTTGCATTATAACTTGTTTTCCTTTATATAAATTATATAACACCAAAATAGTGTAATGGCTGTAAAAACAGAGTTTATAATACATAAATATATTTATATTAATAACCTTTTGTAATAAATAATTGTTTAAATATTATAATGAATAAGTAATATTATAATGAATTTGTCTAAAGAAAACCTATTACTTGAAATATTGTATTAAAGAACAATACAAATTCTATAATTGATTTATATCGTATTATAATATCGATTCATATGAATTTATAATATTGCAGTCGTTTCCGTAGATTTATATATTTAATAAATGCATTACTTAATTATTGAAAAATATTCCTTACCAAATATTTCATTGCGTTTGGATAAATCTGAACTAAATGTAAAATTATTAGAAAATTAAATCTTATCAGACTTTGCAAAATAACCAATACTTTGTCAATTATAATTAAAAATTGTCGATAGGAAGTTAGCTACACAGACTACGTTCCACTTAACGCTCACAACGCTCGCGAGCATCGTTTGTCCTTGTTTGCCATTTGATAAACGACAAGGATGAAATAATTCAATGAGCATTGTGAGCGTTAAGTGGAACGCAGCCATAATAAGTCGATTAGAACTTGATTGATTCGATCTTTAATATTTGTATGCATAAAGCCTGTATACATAAAGCCTGTTTTACAATAGAATGACATTTTTTGACATTTTTTCCACAAACTTCTTCTTATTTTAACATGAACGCCTTCTTTTTTGGAAAATGATAAAATCATATTTTTGGATTTTTTTTTTCTGAAAACGTTTTATATACGTTTTTATTTGACATTTACTCATTTTCGCGATATGTCTTTAAAATTATCGTGGCAAATATTTAAATATGACTGAATTTGATATGTGCGCAGGACCGTACGAAGCTCGTCTCGAGAACGTTTAACGAAATAAAAATGTATTTATACTAGCCATATTTATTATACTAATTTAACTTTTTTTATTACATATTTTTATTAATTTACATTTACATTTAATTTATTTTTAATTTACATCTTATAATTTACGAAGTTTTGTAATAATTATTTATATATTCATAAATTTTAAATTTATTTTTCTTTTATTATACATTAATGTTAGGTATATTTGAACTTTTTGTTGTTATTTGAGACAAAATTTATTGGCTGATTGCTCTGATTTTATGTGTTTCAACTGTATTCTTTCATCATATATAATACATGAGACTTTTTTAATTCATCGATCAATCGCATTATGCGCAAATGTAGTGTTAATAAAGTTGTGCAAAGTTGCATTTGCGCATAATTCAATTAATCAATTGATAAATTAATAAACTCATCTAAAGTTGAAAATAATTAGTTATTTATATAAAAATATTTTCAAAATTCATATAGATACGGATAAAAATAAATAAATTATATCTATACGTTTTATATTTTATTATAAATATTTAAATAATTAATATAATATAATATTATAAAAAAATATTAATAGTACAGATCATAAATGTTGAAAGTATGTCATGTAGGTGTGATATAGAATCGCTAAAATGCTAAATACATTATTATTAACTGTAATGAAAGATCTATTTAATATCAATTCGCACATACATTCTTATGTATAAGTGTGTTATCTTGCTATAGCAAGTAACAATTTAAAATAAAATGGAATCATATTTGTACGCTTTCAAAGATATCGTGATTATCTTATTTACTATTTTTAAAATAAATGTGCTTATTTTATCTATATATTATCATATTTCCAAATTTTTCAATTTAGGATTACAATTTTTTCTTTGTGTTTGCAGAACATATAAAATTATAAAAATTATCAAATTAAAAAAATACACGTATTATAATTTATAATATCAGAGATAAATACATGCAAGATTAAAATAATCTACTAAAATAACCGTATTCTATTTTTTCTAAAGACGAAAAGAGATCAAATAATATTATAGTTCCAGAAATACTTCCTCTTTCCGAGATATAAACTTTGTTTGTTTATTTAATTGTCAAAGTTCTTTAATTGTCAAAGTGGATTGAAAAATAAGATAAATAATATTATTTTAAACTTTATTATTTTAACTTATAAATACCTCTCAGAAAATAAAGAATTCAAGATCAAAATTGGGAAATCTTGAACAAACTTGTGTAACAAATACGCGAGGTGACTACGTGTGACAGTTTCATAACGTTGAACGTGTCACAGGAAGATGAGCATTATCCACTCAACGTACTCCAAACTACCACTTTATTCTCTATTTGAACGTAAAGCTGCTCGTATTAACTACAGCCTTATTTATTTAACCCACATATTCATGTCAATTTTTTATGGAATGTTTCATCTTCCTTCTTAGTTCAAGTAAAAAGAAAACAATTGTTACTAATTAATGAATTTAATTATTATTTATAAGGCCAAGGCCAGGTCATATTATCTAATAATAGTGTTGCGTCCTCGCAGCAATATTTATATGTAAATTCTAAATGCATTTCTAAACACACATCTTTCAGCTACATTGTTAGAAATTTAAAGAGCTTCCTTTACATGTAAATGAAGCTCGGTTATGAATGAAATTAAAAGTAATGAATGATTTAACTGAAAATTAAGTTATAGTAGTTACTTAAATGAAATGAATGTGTAATTTTTGATGAAAAAATACATTAAATTTTATGTACATAAATATATTTTTTAGTTATAAATACATTAAATTTAATGTAAATTAGATTCAAATTGTGTAACTTAAAAGTTAATAAAATTTAAGAACATTTCTAACAGTGTAAAATAATACCATCAAAATTAAAATAATTATCTTATTATTTTTTTTCTTCGTTATTTTAACTTCAACTTTTATTTACGTTTCAAATCCAACAATACGCGACGCATAATTTATATAATTAAAAAATAATATTTATAATTTACATACAAATATTATTACCCACCAAGATCTAGCCTTTTACGTAATATGACTTTTCTAGCTATTAAGATCTAACTTCGATCATATTGGTTCTGCCTTTATTTGATGTATTTATAAAGCGATCTAAATGAAGATATTATTGTTAATTATTTGTATAATCTATTGTGTACATAAGAATTCATATTAAAACAATAATTGATAACTAAATAATGAACGATGGAGAACAGTAATATTGTGATAGTTCGTACGTTATGATTTACAATTGATTTCAAATTTCATTTTTACAATAAAAATTGAACGCTCGGCGATATTTGTGCCATCGTCGGTGAAATCCAAACAATAACTTCCATTAATTTGTACAAAGGATAATCACAATAAGTTCCAGGCATTTCAGAATGCAGCAAAATGAGTATCTTCGATTTCATATTTCAAAAGTGTAACTATCAATTAATTATTCGATTAAATGAGCGCTGCAAACTGTGGCATATTAAATAATAAAGTACGTATTGTAAAGTTAATATACCTATAAATTAAAGAACTCGCTCTGATCGAGCAAGTTATAATAGGATTATCTTGTTGCCCCGTTGTTTTCCCATCATTGCAGATTTGTGCAGATATTATAAAAAATCAGATAATTTATCAGTGGTTTTGAACACAGAATAAATAATCATAGGATAATGTCACAATCTTAGACATTGAATCGTATCATGAAAGGTTGAGATTAGAAATGATATCAAAAGACAGTGTGATAGATTCAACAAAAAGAACAGCAGTGATTTGTCTAAGACTAGTATTCATAGTCGAATCTTATATTCAAAATCATCTTAAGTCTTGAAATGTCATGAACCAATCAGAGAACTATATTAGCATCTTAAGACATTACTTAAGACTGTCTTGAAATAAGAATTATAAATATTACTTTAAAAGTTATTTGTATGCCTATCCTGGAAGGATTATGAAGAATTTAACGATAAATTTGTTTCACTTTTTTATTTTAACCTTTATATTTAACCTTACAACCTTCTATCATCTACGGTCATCAATTTTTTTTATAAAAAGATTGGAATTCTCAAAACAATCATGACACACGTACAGGTAATAAAGTTTAATATTATAAGTGTAAATTAGATTCGTAATAAAGACCATTGTATAAAATTAGTCTGGTTTAATTATCGAGGAGATTTAATATTCTAATTAATATATCGAAAACATGACTGTCAAATCACGTAATAATAGAAGTATAAGAAAATCACATAATAATAGAAGTATTTTGGATAATTTTATAAAATTTGGAAATTCTAAGTTGAATTAGTTTAATTGGAAACTACGACTGCTTTGTGAAGGGAATTCTCACAAGCACCGAATTCCATTTGAATTAGATTTTGACGAGGTCAGTCAAAATGGATGAAGTGAGTCTGAGGTGGTTTTTAATTATAGATATAAATTTATAGAGCTTTCAATATTAAAAATAATATTACAGTAAAATCAAGCAACTAAGAACTAATATACATTATTAATATATGTTAACAATTCTTCTTTATTCTTCTTCTATACATATATTTCCGACGTTTTGACTGCTTTTTTCAGCCATCTTCTGGGTATTACATACAGTGAAAAATCCAAACTTAAATACTATTATTCATGAATGTAGACGCAATCAGCAAACCTTGAATAATTCTCCATTCGATTATGTGAATTATTTTCTTCTTATAATTCAAAGGTTGATAAGATTGGTTTTACTAATAAATAGCACCTCCATTCTGTTACACAACTCAAACTCAAAATTAGACCTGTGTCTTACATTACGTTACGTAGACACAGATCTAATCGACAAATTTTATATAATTTTGAATTTAAATTCCGTGTGAATCTTATTTAATAAATCGAAGATGGAATGTAACAACTTTTAATTGTAAAGAAATTAATGTCGAAAAAATTTAAATTAGATAATAATTTGATGTAAATCGATTTTGATTAGATAAGAATTGACGATGACTTGATAAAAGGATAGGAACGTTTATTATTACTTTATTATTATTATTATTATTATTATTATTAATGTTATTATTATTCAAAGGTGCCAAAATTTACAG